CCTCCTCTGGAGCAGGATACAGATCCCCAAATTGCCGGATCAAATCCCCCAGTTGGTGGATCAGATCCGGCAATTGTGTGTAGCGGGAATGCTAACTGTTATAAGGTGGATCAGGATCAGATCCACCTGTCTTGATCCTCCTCTGGAGCAGGATACAGATCCCCCAATTGGTGGATCAGATCCTGCAATTGGCGGATCACGATCAGATGGGAATGCAAAAGGTGGATTTGATCCGGCAATTTGACCTGTCAACATCCGTCCGTGCACGAGTGACACGAAACTTTTGCGGTCTGATGAACAAAGAAAAATGTTTTTAGGCGTGTAGCTCATGTGAAATTTTTAAAGTGCACAGCATGCACAATAAACAACTACGGGCTAGCAAAATGTTTCACCACGCATGCACAATGCATGCATGCTGCTATGTGTGCCTTGCCCTTTCACAATTTTTGTTGCACATTCGTCCGTTTCTTAACCTTTTTCATTTGTGTAATTTAACTTGCTTTCCATCAAAAACTAATTCCGTGTTAGCGTATAGCCCGCAGCGTGTGACAGAGTATCAAAAACGGAAGCAAACTTTGAAGAGACAATGTACTAGGTTGAACATTCAGTCCGATTCAAGGTCGTCACGTCAGTAGAACTCTGCACCCAAAACACCGCAGGGTCACAGGCATGCCGCCCCAGCATGCAACACTGCCACAGAGCGCGCGCTCAGCAAGCTAGCACATGCGCAATACCGAACTCAATGACCTTGCGGGCTCGACATTTCCGTCCGAAAAGGTGGATCAAGTGCTAGTGGGAACGTGACTTGCAGTTTCGTTGCAGTAAGATAACGATCACACCAAAATGCTGGATCAAGATCCACCTTTTCCCAATTCAAGTGGGAACGCACTGTTACAGTCAATAAATAAGGGAATAAATATGTGCTTGGCAAGTCTTGAACGTGCATTTAAGACTCGCTCAGGAGTATTGGATGCAACTAATCCCCAAGCCACAGGCGAGGGCATTATCAGCACTTGTTCTACTGGTTTATGACTGGCCAAGCGCATGTTTATTCTTATTCATAAATACCTTTCTTAGTCAGAGTGATAAAAGAAGTCAATATATGATAGATTTCCAACAACAACTAGAATTTTACTGTCATTTTCCCAAACACCCCCGTCCATTTATGGTATATTCCTTGTGCAAATTGTCCATAAGAATTTCACTACATGGACTTGGTGCGCGTGGCACGTTCTGTGTGCTGTGTTGCATCCAGACTCTTGACCAATAGGGATGAAGTAAACTGTCTGGTATCTAGGTGCCAGAGCTTTTTTTAGGCAGTGGGCATTATCACATCTAAGCGGGCATTATCAAATGTTGATACACAATCAGGTTGCATGTTGCTGAATAAGGAGACTGTCTAAGGTATTTCTGAACACTCATTTACCCATCTGCCCACAACCGTTGCACCCATTTGCAACTTTGCCCATTTGCTTTCTCTCCATTTGTTTAAAATTTGTATAATTTTTTTAAAAAGCCGTATGTGAATTATGACAGCATAAAAATAACCTGAAATGCATGTCATGCTCAGAGCACAGCAGTTGGTAACCCTGCATTATAAAAAAAATGATCAAATGTAACATTGCAGAAATGAAGAATCTATATGTTTCTATGGAACTAGTGACTTAGAAAAATGGTTACATTAGGAATAATTCAAACTTCACTAAAAAACCAAACTTTCAAGTGATTTTTTCATTATTATGTAATACAGATGAAACCACAGTCCAACGAAACTCCAATGAAAGCCTTGAGATTCCGGGTGAAGCAAAACCAGGTTCCCAAGGTTAGCAAACTGAAATGTATTATTGATTCTATTTCACACACTATTTCTATTGGTTCATCATAGCTCAGACCTGTGGAAATGTTGAACTTTTCAAACAAACACACACAAAAAACCGGGAAACTTGGGACAGTGAACAGTAACTGCTAATGAATTAGGCACAATGTCAATGTGTACATGTTTAATAGCAGATTTTTGAATGGTCATCTGGATCAGCTACCGTGGAAAGTCTTACCAACGATTGTTTTCAACCTTCAATATTTTCCAAAGCAAACTCTTTTTTCTCCCACCCAGAAAATTGTTCCAAAAATTAGCCCATTTTTTGGACATGGGCATGGCATCCAAAGATCTGAGTTATATTGGTGAGGTAAAGCACACCTTTTGACCAGGATGTATATCAAGTTGTTTCAAACATTAGAACTGTGAGCTGGGTGAAATAGCACGTCACTGTCCACGTATATATTCAGAGATTTAATCTGTCAGTACTAATGCTGAATCAATCAGGTGTGAAATGTTGAAATTGAAAGTTGATCCCAATATGAAGGATACATAAAGATCTAACTTCCAAAATCCACGAGCCTGGTACCAGACTGATTCTTTCCTTCTAAACTTAAACCCAGATGAAACCACAGAGTTTAACAGAGGTCCTGAGAGTCCAGAGGGAGACAGATCAGGTTCCCAGATGCCATTAATGGAGCAGCAACCCAAGAGTTGGCCATTTCTACTAGTACTACTCCCCCTATTTCTACTTCTCGTATTTATCTCCCCTCTGATATGTACTTGTTCATCGAAAGAGCTTCCTGTCACTCCTGGATTTCATTTTTGCTGATCAAAAAAGGGGAGCATAGTTCTATCCGACCTCAAGATACCCTCCAGTTCCCAGCAGTTTCTGACAGGTTTGCCTTGAGATCTATAATGAGCTCATTATCTAGGGGTCACTGCTCACAACACTGTTGCTTTCTTCATGGATACGCTGCTGAATAAGTCAAGAGACCAAACAAATTAACTAATTAGGTGTACCTTGATTCCCAATAATCTGTGCCAGTGATGCAACTTACAGCACAATCACCACATTTACACTGATCCACCAAGGCAATCAAAGGGGGATAAGCAAGTGTAAACGTGAGGTGGATCCGGGGTCTGATCCGAATCTAATCCATCTTTCTCGATCCCCCTTTCAGAAAGTATCAGATCGGGCAATTAAATGCAAGTGGTGGATTATAGACCCTTCAATTTTAAACATCCACATTCAGTTTGCATGGTGCAGTTGAGTTTTGAAGTCCAAAAATCCATAAAAATTTTTCATTTGAGGGACGCCTTACTCAGTGCTAGTTCTCATGCAGTCCACTGCACAATATGGTTGTCACTTCATTCCTGACCATACTGTGTAAATTTAGATAAACGAACATGTACTTCCCAACCAATTCTGCCTCAAGTTCCCATTATCTTTTTTGCATGCTTTTTCTTCAGTTAGTTAGGTCCGTAATTCTTGTGAATTGTTACAGCTTTTTCGTCTGCAGAACATGTTCTGAAAAGTTTATCTTGGTCATAGTTCAAAGTCATGGTGTCCCATACAGGGCAGTAAAAGCAAAATTTATTTCACAGACAGCGGAATGGTAATTTGATGTTGAGTACATATATTAAATATTTGTGAATATTTGGGCCCAATATCAGCAAGAAATTGAAGCCGAAGTGAGCGGCAACTCCGCTTGATGTGCCGTAGCAACAGTGATGAAGTTGAAATGTAGTCACAGGTAAAGCCAGTAGACCTAAAGCATAGGTTTTTGCACCGACTGTATACCCTGCAAAAAATGACTGCTAGTACTTTGACAGCCTAAACTCAGTGACCTTCCTTCTCTTGCAAAAGGAGGATCAAAACAGGATCAGGATCCAGTGTAAATGCTTCACAGTTCATTTGCTGTTAGTACCCCTTGATTGTATTTTTCTCCTGGATCTCAATCCCCCTTGGCAGGATCCTGTGCAAATGATGTCTATGGGAGGGAAGGCTCATAGTTTAAGTACTCTCTCAAATCCTTCTAAGCTACTACGAATAGTGGTGATAACAGCTGAGCATTCTGTTATTCAATGGCTTTGCCACTCAGGGGTAATCAAGCTGTTTATACAGTTGTTTTGTCTGGCTCTATGACCTCTTGCACATACCAGTTACCACTGTTCATGATTGAAGTTGGGCCTAATGAAACTGCCCACAGCCAAAACCCAGCAGAAACAGCAAGGAACCAAAGACCAGCTGCGGGTTGGATAGAAAGGTGTTTCTTTACTCAGTATTCTCTCTATGTTGGTAACTGATTGTCTATTTGATTTATATTTGCTGCACCCCACCACACTTCTACATGTAGAATAAAATGCTGAATTTGTGTTACAGTGAAAAATGTGGTAGTGAGATTAAGAGTACTGCCAAATATCGAACCAGTGAGGAAGGAACCAAGATGAAGGACAATCGATTCAACATGTTTCATACAAAAAAGAATGTGACTGACTACGTTTTGAGTACTTTTGTCTAAAAAAATTACCTCTTATCAAACAGTGATGGTCAGAGAGGTCACCATTTAAACATATCAATGATTATGCCAAAGAGTTTTGATTTTATCTTTCAAAAAGAACTTAGCAGAACTTTTTAAGGTTAAAGAGTTTGCTGAAATCATGGAACACTCAGGTAAACTCTTGTAGAAAAAGTACCAAATTTCAGACTATGCAACTACAAGTATAGCTTTTTATCATAAAGGGCTTCGGCAACATGTAGTTTGTATGCAGTACCCACAATGTGTAATTCTGTTCCATTTAATCTCACAATCAATTTTTGTCATGCCATTTTAAGGGCATTTTTGGGACCTTTTTTAAAGAAATCTTGGAACACTCAGGTAAACTCTTGTAGAAAAAGTACCAAATTTCAGACTATGCTACTACAAGTATAGCTTTTTATCATAAAGGGCTTCGGCAACATGTAGTTTGTATGCAGTACCCACAATGTGTAATTCTGTTCCATTTAATCTCACAATCAATTTTAAGGGCATTTTTGGGACCTTTTTTATTTTAAATTTTTTAAAATTTTTTTATTTTAAAGCAAATGCATATCTGCAGATTTGAGTTAGTTTCAGAGATTTCAGGGAGAAACCCCCACAGCAATTTCAGCATTAAATTGCCCAGAAATAAGGGTAATTTGCATTTGAAAATTTCTCTTCTACAATGATATGTTGTTTCTGTATATGTCAACAAGCCAGTTAACAAAGGTCTCTCCAAACAATTCCAGAGGGCAAACTCTGGGGAAACAATTTGAACTGAAAACCTGTATATCCCAATAGTGTCTCACTAAAGTACAGCAGCATCCTCATTTGTCATGAAAAAGATTTAAAGTTTGGAATAGTTAAAAGGTGCACTTTCAGTACGATAATCTTAAGACAAGATGTCCAATAGTTTTAATACGGTAAAAGTTGAAAGTTGCATCAAAATAAATACAAAAGTAAAATTTGTGGTAGGCCCTTTAATTAGAACTACAATATATGTTGTTAAACAATGTACAGTATTTCAAAGGCACACAATTTCAATGTGTGTCCTCTCTTGAGAAATTTTCCAGTGAGAAAATGTGTAGCATACATGTACATCCTATCCTATATATCCTATAACTGGTGCTTAAATTCTGAGAATCTTTGCAACTGCAATAATAACTCTGAACAGAGTTTCAATGTGCAAACTCAAACATACCCTCAGTGCCTGCACATATCTCAACAGAGTACGTCAATGTAATTTTTATTATGTGGGTATTTCCATGTGCAAGTTGAAATAGGCATGTCATGAATTCTCATTTAATAGCAAAAACAAGAATTGACCAGGCACCTGAACTTGGGCTTTTGGCCAGGCCATACCAGTATTTTGAGCATCTCTTGCCAGCCAGTGAAATGTCCCAGAGGGATTTTGTTATAGTTAAGTGCAAAACCCCAATGGAGAGCAATTAATATCACCTGACTTAACAGTGTGTGAGGTTTGCCTATAGTTTTCTCAACTAGCAGCAAACTTCATTAAGCTAATAAGGAATGTGGTATTTACTTCTATGAAGTTAGGAAACCACATTTTCTAGTTTTAATTGCTGAAATTGATGGACACACACCTAATTCGTGCAAATCCTGAATCTATGAAGTTGTGTAATAACCGGTAGTGGAGCATGTGACAGACAGTTTGCAGTAGTGGATGTGGAAGATAATTCAAAGATAAGGGCAGACCAGCCACCTGCAGTGTTGATTGATTGAGCAAATAATGTCACTTTCCTACTGCAAAATAAACCATGAAATCCTGGTTTCATCAAAGGGACTAGATTGTTTGTTATAATGTGTGCTTTCCTATGGCAGTGAGATGAGGCACAATTCATTAAGTCTTTATGGAAAAGTGCACATGTAAACAATCATTATGTTTGAGGTCTATTAGATCTAAATCTAAATCACCAGCAACTGATCTACAGTAAATGAATGTCAAACAACCAGCTCAGAACAGTGCCAAATTCTTCTATAACTTGAAATACATATTTGGCACCCACTATTAGGGTTACACCATGAATATTAGAAGTAAAATATACATATAGGTACCATTTGGGTACCAAAGATGACACTTGCTTCTACTGTTCAATAGAAGACTATGCATTGTGCATTTACATGTAGGAAATCGGTGACAGACTGGGTCAGACTGGGTGTCTCCCAACTCCACTCAAGTGTCCCCTTCCTGCATCAGTAGTGAGTTTTAAAAACTCATTTTGGAGTATGCATTAATTCTTAAACCTCATTTTTGTTGTTTTAAGTTTGATGTTTTGTTAGTTTCCCACGCTAACTTGTCATTATCTTTTTTTGTTTTTAATTATATATACCTCATATGTTTGTATTCTGTTTTAATGTGTTGTGTATTATTGGACTTGTAATTTTTGGCGAGTAATTTCCAACTAATATTAATGAATTTTTAATGATTGTTATTGCTGGGCACCTATGGAGAACAGTGCCTTCATACTAATAGGTCTCCCCAAGGGAAATAAATAAATACATATTCTAACAGAAGGCTTTACACTCAATGAATAAGGGAATAAATATGTGCTTGACAGGTCTTAAACATGGCTCAGGAGAATGGACATGTAAATGTCCGGGCCACAGGCAAGGGAATTATCAGCACTTGTTCTACTGGTTTATGACTGGCCAAGCACATGTTTTTTCTCATTCATAAATACCTTTCTTAGTCAGAGTGACAAATAAAGCCAATATATGATAGATTTCCAAAAACAACTAGAATTTTACTGTAACTTCCCCAAACACCCCTATCCATTTTATGGTATATTCTTTGTGCAAATTGTCCATAAGAATGCATATATGGCCTTGGTGCGTGTGGCACGTTCTGCGTGCTGTGTTGCATCTTGGAGATGCTGTGTTGCATCTTGGAGATGCAACACAGCATAGAGCATGAGCAATGAAAAATTATGAAAAAAAAAAAGATCAGATGGAACATCAGAAAAGCATGTTACTTATAATTAAAGGCCACATTTTCTTAATACTACCACTAAGAGGATACGTTTATGCAATAAATATATACATTAGGTTCAGAATTATATAACTGTGAAATCAGCACTTGTATATCAGACAAAACAAGTGATATTTTGTCTCTCAGTGTGTGTGTGAGAAAGGGCAGACCCAACCATTTTGGCTAAGGTGTGTGAATCAGTGTTATAGCGGGATTTGGGGAAAATTGACACGCAATCCAAAATATGGCCACCCAGTTGGCTATGTACATACATGGTACAAGTCCATGTCAGAACATGCATGACATACATGTACCTTAGGAATCTCCATTGATATTAGAACATATAGAGCATCCATGTATTTAAAAGCACTGTTATGAACGGTTACTCAAAGAACTCTGGACCTGATACAAAAAGGCAAAGATGTTGACGTTTCTGAAAGCCCCCAAACCCACAAAAGGCAAGGATAGAAAAGTGAAAAATAATGAAAATAAGAAGCTCCAGAGAGAGGGAATGGGGAAAGCTGGTTTGGATGTATGTACACAACGTAAGAACAGACTGATCAAGTCTGAACCTGATGAATATATTGTAGAGCCAGTGGGTCCGGACGGTGGGGGCGCCAGCTCAGACCCGCATGGAGTTGGCTGGCTGCCCGCGTTGGTATGCGAACGGCCCGCGGTTTTCCCGCCTCGCGCCTGCGCAGTCCCTGCCGAGGGACACCATGTTTAGAGCTTGTCTGAAAAACACATTGTTGTTGATACTACAGCAATAAAATAGAGATTTCTTGACCAGAACAGCGATCTCTGGCTGTGTGTGTATCTATACTAGCGTCGGACCCTAACCCGTAGGACACGCTACAATATGACACAATTGTAACAGGATGTGCACTGGCTTTGTGCTTTGCCACTTTGGAGCAAAGGTTCTTTTATCGTTACACCACTTTGCATTTAACGGCAACCAAACAATAAGTCAAGACAATGATAAACTGATGGAGTAGACTGATACTAACCTGGCATGTACACTCAATGCATGGGTTGTTGGGATCCTTGAACACTTCTCCATTCTGTAACTCCAATGAGCCATACAGGCATCCTGAGGGAGACCAGAAAGAGATACCGTAAAATAAGATTGGAGCAAGAGTCATGCAAAGAAGACAAGTACATTGCTCTCTGACTTGTATTATTTTTCTATGAACACTGACTTCACCTAGGAAGCTACATGCATATTCATGATCAACCCTTAAGGTAGAAACCTTGAGTAGAAACTGATGCAGGCAATCACTGCATACCATCGCTGGCACCACAAACACTCCAAGGTTTTGTCATAATGATGACAATATGTAAAAGTGTGGACGAGCCCTGGCTGGAACCAAACTGAGGAAGATTGCTGGGAAAACTTGGACTTGAACTTAGATGTACCTGTTGAACTGCAGTGCTTTAGTTTGACCAATCATCTAATGACATGAGTGAATAGCACAATTGAATATTTCAACCGAAACAGAGTTGTGACAAGTGGGTGTGTTAATATGTCCATTTCCAGAACATAGGAACATAACTTACAGTGTACTAAATGTTACGAGCAGCCAACCTGACCCACGTGTGACTTGAATTGGAATATACTTCTTACTCTAATGCAATCTGACTTCTTCAAGAAAAACGGGAGGCTGGATCTGAGTAAATTGGACCGTTAACTGAGGTTCACCATAGTCTGTCTAGTTTCACATCGTGTGTTGGTGGATCTGCCACAGGGTGCGTGTGATGCATCTAGCGCACTAGAGTAGCTGTAGCTAGCACTGCACCCCTGCTCTCTACCATCAGCAGCTGCTGCTGGCCAGCGCTGTCTTGGGACAAAAAGGGAACCACATGTAAGTCTCCCCTGCCACAAGATAGCCTCTCCATCAAGACTCTTGCAGTGCCTCCCAGCGGCAACACATGGTAACTAGATATCTTGCAACCCCAGGCTTAACCCAAGGGATCTCGGAGCTGTAGTGGCCCCCTGAGACATGGTGCGGAGACCCACCAGCATGTGGACACACCCTGGCGTCATGTCAATCACAGCCCAAACTATAGGTTAACTAGTATCATCAAAACCCAGGCAGCATCTGCCCGGTATCCGGCGGCTGCCTAGTCGTCATAACCTCTGAGTCTGCCTGCTGTTCCAGCGGCAAGCTACTGTTTGCCTTAAAAATCCCTGGTCTTCCAGGTAAAAACAGCTTCGCTGTGAGGGCAGCCCTCGGGATGAGGAAACTGGCCAGTTGCTGCGCCTGCCCCTGGTGACTTCACGTGGCAGTTTCTGCACCTGCAGTCGACGATGGGACCCAGGAAGACAGGGTGGGTTTGGGCTTGCACACCCCACTTCTATCGTAATCAACATGGTGCAGGTTAACTTCTTCCTGCTGCTTATTCCAACATTCTTCAAGTCCTGCGGCAAAAGATTAGTGGCAACGGGGGCAGGAGGAGGATGCTCCTGGGAACTCCTAGCCACAACGCCACATGTATGGCAGCCTGGATGTGATGATTGCTCTGGTGTCAAATGGAGCAACAGCCCAGTTCGTATTCTGCCCCGGCAACAAGGCAGCCCTCTTCAGGGAGATCACTACCTTCTCCAACAGGAGAGGGGGGTATCAAAGAGCCCCTTAAGAAAGCTTGCTCCAACTAGACCTGTTTGTTAGCAGTAACAAACTGGTCATCCAACCCAGCGGTAGAAAGACAAATAGAACAACAAAAAGATCAACACTGCAGCATGGAATGTGCAATACCCTCCAGGACAGCACCAGTAAACTGCAGCACAGAACAGCAATTATGTACAAGAAGTACGTCGGTATGATATCGCTATAGCAACACTGAGCAAGACCTGCCTCCGTTGTCAGATACAACTCAGTGAGCATGGATCCCACTACACATCTTCCACCTGGATTATGTGGACCATAAGACCTTTGTTCAAAAAAAGGACACCTCCTATCACCTCAGGCAGATGGCTCAGATCACTCTGCGTAATATGATGGATAAGTGGTGGGATGATAGAGCTAGTGATCTTTAGGATGCTGCGGATCGGAATAACATGAAGGCGTTTCACGATGGACTGATGATGGTCTTTAATCCTACGTGTAAAGGCAATACATTGGTGTATTTGGCTGATAGCGAGACAATGCTCAGGGACTCAGACAGCTTCCAGGCTTGCTGGGCGAGGCACCCAGTTTCCAATCATTGAGGAGCTGATGAGTCAACCAGTAGTCGCTGAAGTCACCAAGGCCATTAAGCAGACATCCATTGGTAAAGCGGCTGTCAAGGATTGCATCTTTCTGTAGGTGTTCAAGTGTGGTGGCAACACCATCACTGCAAGCCTGACTGAGCTGTTCACCCACATCTGGGATGACGTGTCTGTTCCCCAGGGCTTCAAAGATGCCATGATAATACACCTGTGCAAGGGGAATCGTTACTATTGCGACAATCAGCGGGGGATGCACTGTATACAGACACCAGGGCCATTTTACAAACCGTGGCAGGGATCTTTTTTTGCTGTTTTTCTTGGTGCAGTGTATATGTAATTAAAGCCTGAAACAGAGCTCATTCTGAAATTAAAGGGTGTCACTGTGATTTAGAGTGTCGGAAATAGCATGATTCATGCAGCAGAGTGTCCCACCACATGCTGAAATCATGGATGTTGTAACATCAGTGGCTGAAGCCCCTTGGAGAGAACATTGATTTCGTAGATTGACCTCATCAGCGCTTGTATGCACGTTATGTGGTGTAAGTGCGCTAAGCCGGGTCATGATTCAATGGCACTGATGGACGATGTAAACACAGGGTATTTATACTACATGTGTACGCATACGTTCATGAATATTCAGTGCACATGATTACTTAACTTTCATAAAAGTACTGGCACCTAGATTTTCCCCCATTAGGAGCCAGTGGGTACCAAATAATTTTTTTCTGTTTAAAGGGTTGGCCACGGTCGGGCACATTGCCGACAAACCGTGTCATCACCATTGGCAACAAACCACTCAAAGCCATAGATAAGTTCTGCTATTTGGGTGGGACTGTCTCACAGAATGCTAAGGTCAACGATGAGATCATGGCTTGCATCAGCACAGCTGTGCCTCATACAGATGACTTGAATGTCGCCTATGGTCCAAGCACGGTATCAGACTCAGCACCAAGATCAAAGCCTATTGCACAGTTGTCCTGGCCACCCACGTACGTAGCAGCAGCAGGAAGAGGAGAAATTCATTGAGGACGACTCAGTCCCCCACCAGTTTCACTTGAAGGCAGGATGTTTGGAATTCTCTAGCCAAGATTTCGAACATGACAAATGACAGTGCCAGTTCCCAACAGCCTTTTGTTTTCATGATAAATAAGGGGAATCAATAACAGGAAAGTGAGTTTGCAACGTAGTGACAACAGTCAGAATTGCAACCAACAGAAAAAATGAGAGTGATGAACAACAATTCTATTCATTTCAGCCAGACTGTATTGAGCTTCTGTACCAGTATAGGAGGAGGTTGCCTGACAGTCAGAGCATGGTTTCACTCTCAAACTGCTCATAAAGGAACAGCCTTGACTACGTGTACTTACCATCACAAGATTGACAACAATCTCTGGTGATTGGATAGTCACAGCTGACAGGAGAGCAATTGACATAGTCACATTGTACACGGCCTTGTTGGCACAGACAGTCAACGCATTCATTGCTTGGGTCTTTGAAGGACTCACCATCTCGATAGGTGTTACCACGGTGTTCACAATCTGAGTGAAAAGAGATGCAGAAATGATCACAACAGAATCATCCATGACTGAGACATTGAAAGTGTGTAAAATGGTCGCCTTTTTCAGGAAAACAAATTTCAAGAGGCTCTAACAGAACCGTGCTTCTGGGTGTTCCAAGGGTAAATAAATGCTGTCAGTATGCATGTACATGTAAGACTAGTTAAAACAAAAAAATCAACCTTGTACATGGTAGTAGTTATTGGCACACTCGAAATGTTCATAGTCCAAGTACCAGATGGTTTTATTTCCATGAGGCAATATTTCAATTAATGACATACACTACTTGGACTTTATGACCTGATAACAGAAAATGGAAATAAAGAATGAAGAGAGTCCAGCACCAAAAGCCCAGTTTGCTCAACGTTCAACAATTCATATCATTGAAAATCAAGCAGTGGGGAAAAAAGTAAAAGATATTAAACATACAAGAAATTGAGTAAAATGGTGACGACAGTTAATGTATGCAGGAACAGCACTTAAAGCCAATTTGATAGACTAAATAGGTCCATTGGGAATCCCATAAAATCAAACAACAAAAAGCAACAACAATTATTCAACAGCACCTTAGAACAAAGAAAAAATATCATCAAAACATCTAGAACAGAAATCTAACACTTCCTGGTTGTATCCATCAACCTGAATTATGACAACATTTCCAGAAAGGGGTAAATTCACGTAAGAAAATAAAGAGTTTGCAACACAGGAGTAACTTTCTGATAAAAAAACAGAGTAAAGCTCTTAAGAATGCATTTCATGTTAGTGACTGAGAAGAATGCAGCATATTCATCAAAGATCGTAAAACTTACCAAGACATACAGGACAGCATTCTCCTGAGAGTGTCACAGGATTTGGACAGGGTAGAGGAGGACAATCTATTGACTCACAATTGATGTTGCCATTCTAAAGACAAAGGAAATAACATTGACATTGAATGGGTTCATTTCTTTTTGACGTCACAGCTAAAATGACTGCTTCTCTTCATGTCTTCATGACATAGTTACAGTAGACACAACAGCATCCACTGCAAAACTTTCCAATACCTTCAACAATTTCTCTACAATCATTGGCTCTTTCTAATAGGTAACACCAAATCTGCTTCTCATATCAGTGGCTGGCTTCATAACTTCAAAGCCTCTTCTTTTCACTTACTCTTACCTTGAATATCGCTTGAGCAATATGAATGGGGTTGTGACCACAAATAAGCTGTCTACTAGAGATTTGAAAGGTAGGTGGTTGGGGAATTGTAACACTACCTTCAAAATTATCCCCACTTCCAAACGATGATTCAATATGCTAGTGTAATGTTTGAGTCAACACTTCAAACTGAACACGAACGAAGTCCAAAGGTTGAGAGGCTTCTCATTAAATGACTTCTGTTGGTGATTTCTACATATATCTTCTACCAAGATGCAAAACCTCAACCTCAAATTATTTCAGGTAGGGCCATTACATTGATTGATTTCAGTGGATGACAAATACAACTGACAGCTATACTGTTCGTTGATAACTGTATACAAAAAGGTTGCTGTGCTACATTCATGCATTTGAGCGAATTCACTGAACAACACTTAAAAATAAAATTCATGTCCCTGTCAAAACACTGAAGGGCGTCAGAAGAAAAGTTAACTGAAGACTTAACTTCAATTAAAAAAAAATAATAATACATTGTCTTGAACAAACATAGGTAACCAGTCAACAGGTTCCAAGTTTACATATTTGAAGGAGTGTGGAGTGCTGTGGCCTTGTTAAGACCACTGGATTCGTAGCCATAGGTTCAAATCCAGCCAGGGGTCATAGTGTGTGTGCCTTTGGGCAAGGCACTTTGTTACTCATAGCTTCTCTCCACCCTGGAGCAATTGTGGTTGATTTAGCTGCTTTGTGCCAAAATGGCTACATGGAGCTGAGATGGTACTTGGAATGTTTCATGGGCCAATGAGCAGAGGTAGTAACAATGGAAAATGCTTTGTTCTTAGTTAAAGCACTGTATAAAAACTTGCTATTATTAACAACCTGTTATCATTACACTTTTCATCTTTGATCTTTCAAACATTAATTTGCCTTGCATTGTTCCCTGCTAAACGGCCAACTGCAATGTTCTGTCCTGTCTCTGTAATAATCTTGATGACTGTTTCTTTGGGAATCATATTTTTGAAACAGAGAAGCAAGTACTAAAGCAAGTCACTCAAGTGATGACTGATTGTTGATCTACTGGTAGACAGGAAGAACAAACAAGAACCACTAAAAATAGCCAATCTAGGCACAGACAAAGAATATTAAAGATCATGCCAGATGGAGACACAATTAAAGCCCTGTAACCACACATGTGGCAGGTAGTTATCTGACAAACACTAACAAATTCAACATGCATGCAGATGCAAACTCAAACACAGAGAAACAAAATGTAACTCCTACACCCTTTGAAGAATTTACTCACCAGAGAAAACGATATACTTAGAAAAGAGGACAAACCAAAAAATGATTAAAAATCAGCTTTCCAGAATTGCTTCGAGATTCAATTTATTTATTTTAGAGAATTGTGGAGTCAAATATATCACTTTTGATGACGTAACCACTGTGAACAATATTATCTTTCTGTTTAAATGAATGAAATTTAGCTGAATGAGCTTTTACCCTTTTTAGCTCTCATGGGGGTAAGGCCAAATATAAGCTTAGACTTTCTACCAGCCATCACCATTCATCCTCTTTTGATAAATCATGGAGTCTAAATTGTTTATTGTTTTGAAAGAATATCGTCTGGAAATCAATTAATCAATCAATAGTCAATCAATTGGACATTTTGGAAAAATAACAACATGGACAATGACTAATTTAAAGAGGCAGGGTAAAGAAACCATTCTTTCCCCAATTACAACCTTTAAACAAAAGGTGACAAGACCATCTTCCTAAATTAACATGAAATAAGGGAACATTTTTCCCATTAATGGTCGAAAAAATGTCCCAAAATGGGCTTCCGCGAGTCCCTTTTTCACCGAATTCAGAAACACTCATTCCCCAGTCTTGTGCAATAACGCGTTGAATCTATCGTTCCGGGACAACGCATTAAGGCTAGATTTTAAACCTTCCTGGTTGTTGCAGATAGGTAATATGCCAAGGATTTTTGGAGGACTGCTTCGACAAATATCCAGTGTCTGCAAAAGCACCTCGAATTTAGAAAAGTGACGCATTAAGCCTGGCTGACTGCTTGTGTTGCAGTTGCTGGTGTACGATGCTGTGCCAATGGACCACCACCAGCTTTGGGACTGCCACAGCAGCCCCACAACACTGACAGGTTCTGTGCCATAGTTCTCATTCATCGACAAGTAAATTATAGTTACTGCCATAGGAATTGAATCCGCTCACTTTCATGAGGAGAATCCAATAGGTGTTTATCTCAAAAATTTAAATTAAAAATTGTAGACTCGGCAAACGAGTATGCATGTGGGTTGCTGTCTTTTTTTTCAAAAGTTTCACATGTACACACATTACAAGGTAGCCCGCGATTTAGCCCAAGATTTAGGTCTGGGTACTCTTATGCTGATGTGTTATTCTCCATGGTGTGTGAATAGTCTGTTGCCACTGCATGTGAACACGAGTGTACTCTCACATGTATGCCACACAAGTTACGTTCCTCTCCACCTTGGATGTCTCATATTCCTTCATTTCGGAACAAATCTTACAATTATTTTGACCAGCTAAGAGTAAGATTTTAGGTTTATGCATCTTAGAGATTAATGTATAATATTGTGCATTTTCTACATGTCATTAAAACTCCTCATTTTAATGCATTTGGGTCGCAGTGATGCCAGCTGACATTTATCTTCATACATGCTTCATGCATGCTTGTTGTGTCTTTCTCCCTGTTACGTCATCAACCCAACACAAACACAAAATTTGACCTCGCATGTTTCCGACATTGGCCCAGTTGGTTGTGGACAGAAATTGCCTCTTATTTCTCTCGTGTTGAATAAATTCATTGGATACTCGTTTCTGGGTGGCCAATCTACCGCCAAAACCCTAGACGTCACAATATTTGAAGCCTTTTCTGTACGACTTTAAGATTTGATTTCAACTCGACCAATTCTTTGATATATTAGGCATACAAGGCAATCCATTACCCATCAAACTAAAGACTGTGCTGAGTGCTTCCAATGAGTAGGACTGTGTGTTTAAACACACTGCTTACCAAAGTTATGTGCAAAAATTTACAATAACACTTGGACTCAAAATCAAGTCTTTCAGATATAATTTGACTTGTTCATGGCTCTTGAAAGGCTCAAGAACTGAGACCACACTGCCCGATTCCACATGCTTAATGACTGCTGTATCATGTTGTTTTTCAGTTTACTTGTTACTTGAGGATAGGACTAATGCGACCATTATCCCTGCTTACTTTCTTCCAATAAAGTCCAATGCATACAATAACGTTTAGTTTAGTTTAGCACTTACCAGACACTGGCAATGCTCACACTGGTTGAGTGGGTTGAGAAACTCCTGGCCATTACGGAAGTAGCGTCTATCATACTCACAACCTTGGCATTCAGGACAGCATGCATCCTGCGCTCGGCCTGGGTTGCTGCATTCAAGCTCAGGGCAAGCCAAGCGTTCACAGCTTACTTGCCTGTCCTATGCACGGACAGGTTTATCAAGATGATGTAAAGCAAACAACAAAAGATAAAAGCAAAAAGAATAGGACCACAGCAAGCAATTGTACAAACTGAAATTGTGGCAGCATTGGGACTACATTAAAACTGTCCATGCATTCCTTTTACTCTGGTAATAAGATGCAAAGTCACTCTCACTTTGACTGCATGTTTTTTTGACAATTTACCAATGAAAAATGTTCTCATATTCTTGAAGACCTGATCAATGGCAGTGGGTACCTAATAAAGTATACTTAAACAGTGCATTTGATTACTTCCATCATGCTAATTTGTGTGTTCCTCACAATTATAAATTGACATGGATAATCTGTGGTTGTAAAGTAATGATCTCAGGTTATTTAAAGTTCCCAGGCACGGTCATCGAGAGAGATCAATTAAATTTGAAAATTAATCTAAATGGTTGCAAGCTACAGACATCCAAACACGCATTTCTGGCATTTCTTTTGCAGAGCTTCTGACATGGGCCAGTTTGCCACTATAGTCATTCCTTTTCAACGTTTGCTTAAACTGCCATATTTTCACACTGTACTATGGGAAAGTTACCCAAGTAGACAGCTTGGCAGGTTGATTACTTGGATTAGGCTCAAGAAAATGTGAGAGGTCACACAAGTGTCAACTCAAATGCAGTCACACTTGCATAACTAAGTACCAGCATTGAACAGGGTAGAAGTGAAACTACTTACCCCTACTAGACACAACCAATACAGAAACTCAAAATATATACCACTGGTGGCAGAAGCGGGGCAGGAGGGGCAGTGCCCTCTCCCATACTTTTTCAACAGAGGAACTTGGCCCCCCACTTTTGCAGGTCCTATAATGGGGTGGGGCTTAATGGAGTGGCCTATTAATGGTTTATGCCTGATGGTCTCACAACTGTCCCCTCCCATTTTGAAACTCATTGCACCATCGCTGCTATTTACATCACCCAAAAGTATTGTCAGCCTACCCCCCAAAAAAGCAAAATCCCAAACTGGAAGGTCATTCTGACAACTGAAAACCATAAAGAAAATCATTTTTTATTATTACAAAGCACTATTCAAATCTGTGAAAATATTTTAGAATTGACATGTATAGACACAATGACAAACATGCAACAACTGCTTTTGTTTACAGGCAAAAAACAAGACATGAACTGAACCATGGTAATAGACATGCAGCTCCTCAAGCTTTGCAACAAAATTAGTTATTTGATATGGTACATTCAACAGCTCTTCTGAAAAAAATATCCTAATAAGCCATAATGCACAAGCTGCTCTTTGACTTCAAAGTACATTTATTAGTTGTATACTTCAATGAAATCAGAATTTTGGACACCAAAATTAAATAGTCAAAATGATTTATCTCTTGAGGTTCTTGACATAATTCACTGACAACGATGACAAGAATAACATTTAAAGCCTTGTTACAACACACTGACTCTTTGACAACAAAATAGTCATGGCCAAAATCAAACACTTTGAAATTCCAATGACACAATCAGGACAAACATAAAATTGTTACTTTCAAACCAAAGCACTGTGAACACACGTTCTGTCACACACATTTTTACATCTGTTACACGTGTTATTCCAGATTCTCTTGATAAAACCCCCAAAATATCTCATTCAACTTCACCATACGTACATTTAACCATTTGCCGCTAAACTTACCCTGCATGTGCAAGTGTAGCACTTGTCTTCAGAGCTGATCCACTGCTCTCCGTCCTCGTACTCACGACCATCTCTCGCTATGCAGGTTTCACATTGGAAGCAGCACTGACCAGGGAGCATGACAGGGTTACGACACGACACTGGGTTACAAGGTTCTGGCTCACAAAACATAGAGCCATCCTGTAGGAGTGATGAACATCCCTTGTAAATTAAACGCTTGGATTCTTTGCCAATTAAAATAAAGGGGTAAATGGAAGGAAAGTGTTTTCTAAAAGCCTATCATTTTCAGGATTCCAAACCAACTTTTCAAATTTGTGCCCAGTGATGATACAAGCGATGTTTACAAACCTCCACCTGGACAACAGGTTAAGGGACTTCTGTGTTTTTAGTTGGCAGCTGGATTAATTGTGTTGAGTGAGACATGGGCACAAATTGGAGCAACAGAATGAAATAAACCAAAGACTCAGAAATATGTGACAGCACAGGCCTAGATCATTGGACAAGTAACATTTCATGTTGAGTAAGTCATAACTGATCAACAAGCCCAACACTGCTCATCTTGAGCACATTCTGTAACCCAGGTTTATTTATGTCATCTTTAATTAGGGTAAGCTCCAATCAGTGCACTGTACTGCTTTCCATGGAGGCCGCTAAGATTTACAATGTGAGTTGAAGGCATACAAGAGCACCTCAGACAGCTGCCAAATGACCCACATCTGAAGACAGGAGACTAGTATGAGAAGAAGTCACAGTTTTAGAGGTCGGAGGAAAACCCCAGGAGAACATTCTGCATAAAACTCAAGGAATCAGATAGGGACTGAAAACCCAATCCACATGTGGACTGACCTGGGAATTGAACCTAGGCCGCAGAGGTGAAAGGTGAGGAAGAGTTACTACACCAACCTGAGTCCCCTAGGTCACACTGTATCTCATAAGCCAGGTTTACAAGCAATGTTTAAGTACAATTCAATAAATAGTAAAGAAATGTTTATTTGAGGTGTAGCTGTAAAGTTTCTTCCAATGTTACTCTCTCAACTCTAGAAATGTAACTGTTTCTTCAGCCTTATGACCTACAGTGTGGCCTTAGAGTAGTTTTAAGGTATTCTTGGTTTCATAACCAAAGATAAATGGTGACAATAACCCTGGACAGTGGAGTTTAGGGAAACCTCCACTATCAGGAATTGCCAGGAAAATATGAACATTAAACAGTTGAATGAGAGTCCTGTAAATGTAGGAGACCACATGTAAATGGTCAGGACATCAAGATGTACCATCTTCTATCACCACATGGGTTAGGCCCTAAAGGTGATTACTTTAACTTGGCTGTGACGGCAACTGTTCCACATTACAATCTTCTCAATTTGATACTCACAGTACAGGTGCAGACTTGGCAATGATCCTCTGGGTGCCTGAAACGGCTACCGTTAGGAATAATCCTCCTGTCAAACTCACAGTCATCACAGACTGGGCAGCATTGATCAGCTAACCGGCTTGGGTGGCTACAAGGTGTGCTACATGTGGATGCAATACTCTGACAGACCACCTCCCCTCTCTGAATAATGACATTTGACCACACAGTTATTTCACCACACATTTATCTTTCTACTAACACAATGAGGGCACTGAATGTTAACTGCCTACATCCTCAACTCCAACGAGATCTTTCATCAGGGATTGTGACTTAGAAGTTCTGACTATTCTCCGACTTTTGTTTCACAAAAAAGTTTATTCTACACCGTTTTTTCAATAATTTTATTGAAATCCAGTTATGGAACTAATTTTCAATGAAATCTGTTGACCCTGTAAAGGGGCAATGTAACATAACATGTTCAGAAACTTTAAACTTATTCCGCAATATCAACTAAAATTGAGCTTGAAACTTAACAATTACTTTGAATGTTTACAAAGAAGGATTGATTCAAAAAGACTGCCAACAAGTCTCAGGAGAACTAGCACCTGACTGACCTGGCAATTACAGCGTTGACAGGGATCCACAGTTGAGTAGAATTCCTGACCATTCTCATACACTTGTCCCTCAAACTCACAATCTTAAAAGGAAAACAGTCTCAATCAATTTCAGCACTGCTACAGTATGGCAAAACTCTGATGAAATGAACCTGCCGAAAGGGTTCCCAACTTGTTGAGTCAAGTATAATTTGATTTGAGTTTATAAAGTAAAAAGAATACAAAATCAAAGTTAATTTGAACAATTTAGAGTGAACTGAGACATAATGAGCTGGACCTAAACCTACAGTCTCCAGATTAAAGAAATGATATCCTATTTGATTAGAACTCTGGATATTTATGGTCATTTCATATTTGTACATTTAAGACTTGTTTTGTAAAATCTGATGCAAATGTGTGAGCATCTTTGCTCAAAGGATGGACGAATTAGTCAGTAGTTATTTTAAGCGCACATTTCATGAAACCAGCCACAACAAAGGTATTATGTTTCCAGTCCTCTCTGATTGATGAGGTCCTCTTGCGCTGCCTAGACTGGACTACTGCAACTCAACTACTGATGCAGATTGATCCCAACAGCTTCAAAATAATGCAACTCAACCACACTATCGCAACCCAAATACATACGTTTCTCACTCCTTCAACAATTACTCCGGTTACCTGTTCAACAATAAATCAACTTCCAAACAGCCATCCTCATGCACACAGCACTACTCAATACAATACTGCAATACCTCAACATACAAAGCCATGATTGCCTCCAGCAACAACTTGAAAATCCCTCGCACATTCAAAAAAGCCAGGGCAGGGCCTTTTGGTTTCTGATGCTTAATTCCCTACCACAGAACATTTGCTGTCAGTTCCTCTGACAATTCGAAAGAAAAACTGCAAGCCTATAATGATCTCCACAAATTTTGTAATCTGTCTTCCAGAATTTTCCTCAGTCATGCACTGTACCTTGTGAAAATGTGTGCAATAAATTGTGTTATTATTGAAATGGTCTTACCCTGACAGACAGGGCAGCATTGTCCTGGTGGAGTGAAGGGTCGAGGACAGCTGATAGGATCACAGGCTGTGTAGCTACAAGAGACTGAGCCCATATCACAGGTACACTGACGGCAGGGGTCAGAGGTCATGATCAAGTCGCCATTATTGTACTCCTGGCCTTCATAGAAGCAACCTGGATAAACAGACGATCCATTTGATAAGAAAATGATAGAACCAACGTCAAAAAAACCCTTAAGTAATTGTAACTGTCTCAGATGATGACTGATGTTGATGCATGTTGTTAAACAGAGATTGGTGATTTGCAAAATTACACATCAATGAAACAAGCTTAGGCCCATCCGAATCTGAGCATTTTCTTCATGTGGTAAGTAGCATTGCTGTCTTATCATGAAGGAAACACTCCACTAGAAAGAGACCACATTTTCACATTGCAACACCTTTCCCAACTTGTTATCCTTTTAACCCCTTCATCAAACAATTGTTGGTAATCCGTAATCAAATATCAACAAACTGGGGTTTAATTGATTGATTTAAATTTTTTGTGGAGCCTAATAACGAGGACAATTTTGACAGTTGCCTTGCCAAAAGACTAGCTTTTTACCACCAAAATGATGCTTTCAACCCAATATTGAAAGTCTGATAAATTTTCTCCTGTGTGTGAACATCTGACAGAATGCATGTGGCCACACGGACTCACTGTCGAACTCCATAATGATAAACAGAGCACAAATGCACTTTACAAGCATTACATGGAGTTAGATTTGTTATTTTATTAGGGGTGTGGGTGTAGTGAGGGTGGGGGTGGAAGATAGGTCAGTAATTAATCCAGCTAGTACTATTGTGGCTAGGCTACGGTGAAAGCCAAGCCAAAGAGTCATTACAAGAGTCATATGATATTTACTTTTAGGGGTGCACCCCTAATGGAGTGGGAATATCATATATATGAAACTCCACAGAAAAGAAGGTCCCATTCAGATATGTCATTACATGGCATGTCATACCTCGTCTCAACTACACATTCACATATCTTTGTCTCAATTTGGTAGGAAATCCTCTTGTTTAAGTAAGTGCAGTCCAGGTATGTGTTCCTCCGTATGATGCTTATGGTATCACCCATATGGACTACGCATTCATAATTTTAAATGTACACTGTGGTAGCACCGTATCGTTAACTTTCACTGCCTACAAGTGTTTGTAAAGGGAAAAAGTCCATTTTTGTTGTCAATTCCAACCAAATAATCCTAATTTTGCAGTATAGATTAGGACTCACATTCATAGTCAGGATATATCCACATTTTTTATATGGATTTGCTGGGTTACACTGAATGTAACTTTAGCGTACTAAGTTGAGTCCAACATAGATTGGTGTTTGTGGAGGAACAAATGTAATACTAGTGGTGTTTATCACAAATGCAAATCACTGTCTTTTTACGAAACAACCATGAACTTCAGTGGTCTTTATGGTGACTTTGTCAGTTGTGCAAACTCTTGTACTGTTGACATTAGTGGGCTCGCACACCTTAGTATGTACATGTACATCGGCACGATTTCCGTACGGAAGTTTATTGTTCAGTATATTTGAGCCTAACTTGTGAGTGACTGTGTATACCTGTAACGCATTCGATTTCCAATGTTTATTCTTGGTGAACCAGAGCTAGCTATTGTTTGCCACCACTTGAAGGATCTTTGTAATGACTGTGCAGGTTTGGCATTTCAGGTGACACTGTTGAATAAACCCAGACTTGCACCCAGCATGACTGCAGAAGTCTATGTTCCATCTCCTATTCTGTCTCCTGACAGCCTGCG